CAACACTCGGAAGCCAGTATTACAATGTTATCGTCATCATCACCGTCACAGTCAAGATTAGCATCATCGTGGCAATCGTCATCACCATCATGATTGCCGCCGCTTTCGCCATGATCGTCATCATTATCATCATCATGATAACCATTATCGTCATCATCATCAGCATGAACATCATCACCATCGTCACCACCACCTTCGCATTCAACATTCTCAATAGAACATTCCTCATGTGCAATGTCGCAGTTATCGCCATGTCACGCTCCAATTCACACGGAAGCTTGATCCGACGAACAGCAGATGAACGCACGTGCCGAGGTCACCTCCGACTCTGAGGGCGACAGTAGTTGAGAGAGATCTACACCCGAAGACGACTCGATTCAGGAGTGTTTCTGAGATGGGAGAGCCTTGTGGGTACATAGCTGTTTAAAGTTGATGAAAGTAGCGTTAGCGCTAGGATTTGCAACACACTGCAAGATTGAGGGGTGGTGGGCCCATTGGGCTACAGCACGTTGACAGGAATCGGCCTGCAATTATCCATGATGCTGCAGGTCGTTGTTGTCCGATGTTCCGGCATTTCGAAATCGATAAGGTTTGTACGAAACATGCTGGAACCCGTTGGGATTTTGGATTACAAAACTTGCGTTATCTTGGCTGCTCGTCCTCGGACTCGGCTGTACATATGCGGCTGCCACCGCTACGATTAGGTGAACCGGGAAATGGCCTCTTGCCAGAAAGAACCATTTCATGACATATATACCGAATGAGTTCGCACGCCACTTACAGCTTCATGGGGCTCAGTAACTTTAGGGCTATAAACAAGGTGACCATACCTAGAATTAGCTATAACCCCAACTAAGATACTTATAACTGTACTGACTAGATCCCAGGAAGCTCCAAGTAGCAAGGGACCTGGCCTAAACCCTAAACCCTTAACCTCGCCTGGCTTGTCCGAGTTGTGAGAGCGTAAACCCTGAACCCTAAACCCTAATCCCTCTAGCCCCAAACCCTAAACCCCAGTTGCCCGGCAACAGTGACAAAAAGGATGGAGCTCAGGTCCCCGTAGCAGGCTCCTCGGTTTTGGGATGGTTCAGGGTTTAGTCAAAAGGGTTCAGGGTTTAGGGTTTAGGGTTCAGGGTTTAGGGTTCAGGGTTTAGGGTTCAGCGTTTAGGGTTTAGGGTTCAGGGCTTAGGGTTTAGGGTTTAGCACAACTTGTAGGAATTCACGGGGTCGTGTCCTCATGCCCATACCCATGTCGCCATGATTCAACAGCCTCAAGCTCGCTTTTCAATTCCCGTCATCACACAGTTTGAAACTCACAGAGACCAGAAGCCACAAATCCCCAAAACTTTCACTTCATGTACCTTGCCTTGGTGTCGAGAGCCAAGGGTCTCACGAGCTTCCCACAGAATTCAGGGTTACAGCAGCAGGCTTCTGATCTTTAAGAGCAGTACCAAGTAGACACACATATAGCCAGCCACCCTGCAAGGCAGTAGGAGACCTGGTCCAGAGACTGCCCTGCTTCCGATGCCTGCCGGCGATGCCGGCAAGGCACTGCGCCGCTGCACGTGGAAGTTGGGATTAGGGAAACAAGGCGAGTTGAGTCAGCTCCGCTGAAGTTTCAAGTCTTGCTTACTTTTCACCAAAGACGGGGCTTGATCTTTCTCAGGCTCCAAGCTGTAAAGCGGTAAAAGGGGGTTTCGTTGGAGGTCCAGTTTCAGTCGAGCTTGCAGAGCTACTTCTGCATGCTGCTGCTGATGCTTCAAAAAGTATCATTGCAGGAAGGCCAGCCGAGTTCACAATACCATTCTCCCTACCCTCATTAGACCCATTAGTGCCTAATGCTCGTACTCCTCACGCATTACGTTATCGTCTCTTTGCTGCGTCAAGGCATCCATGGCCACCCCAAGCCCGGGTTCCCGCTTCGTCAGGCTGCCATACGCGCAACCCCTCCTTGCCGGTGCCCTAAGCGCTGCGTCACTGCTGGGGCTCCTTGGCTCGAAATTGGAGCTCTTTTGGTGTTCGAGAGTTTGTCACCCGGGGCAGAGCCCTAATTATAGCCCTGAAGCGTGGGATGCATGACCTGTGCTGGTTACGGTAGCGGTGGATGGGTTGTCGGGATGTTGGTTGATGCTGGATCTGCCCCGTGGAGTTCGCTTCCTGGCGCACTCCTTTCCATATAGTCCGAGAGGAACCCCAATGCCCAACTGTCAAGACTGGGAGCTCTACTGACTTAATCTCAAGTTTTATTTTCTCTCGAGAAAACGTGGGATTAGCGGTGGGCAGGTTTGACAGACGATGTTCACAGACATTAGTCTGCCACATCTCCACGCATGATGAAATGAGTATTGTTTCGTTTGATTGTTCAGATACGAACTGAACCCCAACCTGTAAGATCTCTAGACTTTAGAATAAAGGAAAATGAGTCACCCAATCGACAAGATCCTAATCCGAGGCTGTCTCTTTGGTTGATTCGTCAGCGCGCCACTGCCAAAGCAGCATGCACCTCCCGTCAGCCTCCAGAGGCAGTACATGGCAGTACTATAGGAACCTTGGGGTTCCTTAGTATAGGAACCTAAGGGTTCCTTAGTATTTTTTATACTAGCCCCTACAATTCGTCGCTGGGATTCCGGAGTTAGGGATTGCAAGGTTTTGGGTTGGGAATCGAGGTGAAGAGTCAAGAGTTTAAGGCTTAGGGGCACAGGGGGGTTGGCAAAGGGAGCTTCGAGGGCAGCAGGTGATGCTGAAGGCAGCCACCTGGCATTCACAGTTCTAGTCTGGGAAGATGAGCTGTCTTGCTCAGCATGCACTTACCGTTCTTGGTGGTTCTGCATCTGTCAAGGAAGAGGAATCAAGGCACACATGGATAGCAAATGTCGGCGCCATGTACGTTCGAGACTTGGGGCGGGGGCAAGCAGGGGGCAGCAGGGCATGGTTCGAGTCCTGCGGCCTCTGCCGGCACAGCGAAGTTTTGCAACTTCTTGGTGGCTTTGTCCGCGACCTGGCAACGCCGCGAGCCCCAACTGCTCGCGTAGAGGGGCAAGAATATATACATACCATAGCCGGTCCCAAAGCCTTAGATTCGAATTGCTTAGTAGTTAAGTTGCGAAAGCTTTCAAGTTACATTGCAAAGTTGGTCAGTGCAGGCCGCGCCGGCGCCAAAACCGTCGCCTCCGGCACCTCCCGAGGATCTGCATGCAGTCTCTGAGTGGTACTCCGGTTTAGGATTTACGGTTCACAGTTTAGGTCTCCTAAGCTGACTGAGGAAGGCTCTGCCCTCGAGCTTCGCTGCCGGCATACACTGCAAGTCCGTGCTTAAAAAGGGTTCACAGTTTAGGGTAGCTTGTCCGGTGGCCCCCTCAAGAAAGAGGGATAGGGGCTACCTAGGCTTCCTCAATCAAGATGCATGTCCCTGTAGCTCTTCGGGTTTCGATGAGCTGCAGATCCAGCTTCATAGAGCTATCCTGGAGGCGCTTGCAGCCTACATGGCACAGGTGGCACGATACTGCGATGTCCTTTCAGCACGACTTTGGTGAGAAAGCATGCCGTGCAGCTTAAGACCCCGTCTGCTTTCTAGACTTATGAGATGCAGGTATGTGGGATTCTGGAGAGGTCGCTCTAGGCAGAATCCGTTGCTGCAAACACGTCCTCTACCCGAAGCATAGGCCTGTCGTAAGTGCAAAAGCCGCAACTGCTTGTCGCATGCGCAGGAGTCGAGCGACGAGGTGCCTTGCCGGACTGAAGGCATATGGTAATAACAGTAACGGTATAGCGACCACCGTGTAGAGATTCAGTAAAGTGTTCCTTGATTTGAGGCCCTGGTTTTGGTTCAGTCTATTCTCTCTTGAACCCTGCTGTTTTGATCGGTGTTGCGGTTGCCACGCAATCCCACTATATCCGAGGAAAGCCTCAGTTTTCAACCTGTAGCCATACTCGCAAAGAAGAATATCTCATACAATCGCAGTAAAGTAAATACCGTTATCAGCGCCAGGTACTCCCCGTGTACGGCCAAACCGTTTGAGGAAACAAGGCGCTGTCTAAAATCAGACTGCAGGACGTCGTTGACTTTGATGAGCGACTGAAGGAGGACTGCATGCTTTGTCCGCTACCCCACTGACTCAACATAAAACTTGTGCTCATGTGAGAGTCTGTGAGGGTCGAAGCCCCTAACGACTATAAACCCTTAACCCTTCACTTCTTAACCCCTTATGTGCACCCTACGCCCTATCAGCCCTTTCTTTCGGGTGCAGAAATCGCTTATGGTAGAGATGGTCACTGTAGCAGCTGGCGACATAGGGAGAAAGGTAGAGATGGGTTTCTTGACGAACATTTTGCGAGACGGGCTAGGCTTCACTTGCCGTCTGCATTTGAGGTTTCATGTCCAGAGTTAAACAAGGAAGATGTGCGTTTCGTCCGACAGGCCTGTTCGGAGTCTAGGGATCTTCAGAGACTCGGTGCTTGTCGCGGTCGCGGTACTTTGTGAGTCTAAAGCGGATTGGGTCTATTTCTCTTTGGAGCGGAGGGCTCGGGCTGTGCCCTTCCGAGGGGTTGTAGCCGCTCCAATGTCTCAGCCCAGCAAGCACCGAAGGCGCAGCGTTCCTGCCCAGCTTGAAAGGTTCACGTTGAAGCGTCATTGCCGCCCCAGTATTCTCCGGACACCCACTACTACAAGCCTACGGGGAGCTTTAACCTTATTAGTCGTCATCTTTGGCACAGCAGTGGCAGTAGAAGTAGTAGCAGTAGTAGCAGCAGCAGTAGGTGCAGGAGTCGTCGTCGCACTAGCAGGATTAATTGCTAGGAGGAGGAGGAGGAGGAGGAGCGTGGGACCGGCAGGGTAGCAGTAGTTGTCGTCTTCGTGGATGCAGCTGTAGTGGTCTTGGAAATGGTAGTGGCAGTGTTCTGCTTGGAGTGATGTGCATGGTACGACACAGTAGTCGTCGCACAGACAGGTGGCCTCATGTCTAACAGCAGCATGCCGAACATTGGTCATGATGGCTCTCCCGATGTCCGAGGAGTGCCGTTTGCTGCAAGAGGCCGCCACAACTGTGCGGCTTATACTCCGAACAGGAGTTTTCCGTTTCCTTCCACATGTCCCTCGGCTGAGTTGATAGCTGCTGCATTCATGACCTTCGATTGCTGACTCCAACCGGTGATACCCGGTGCGAGCAACAAAAAACTTCAAGGAAAATCCCGCAGAGGCGAACGCCTGCCACAAATCCGGAAACTGGCTAAGTAGCAACCGTCTGCGACAGTCAGTCTTGCAATTGCTCAAGGCCGCACCTGAAAGAGCACCTTCGGGCCTTCGGGCACTTCAGAAAGCCTGAAAGAGCACTTTCGGGCACTTCAGGAAGCCATACCCTAAACCCTCAACCCCTAAACCCTTAAAACCCCTAAAAACCCATAAAAGCCCTTAAAGCCCTAAACCTCTCCGTCCAGGTCCATGTTGCGGAGAAGCAGCTGAATGCCATCGCGAGCAAACTCGACGAGGCGAGGATTTCTGGATGTTTAAGGGTTTTTAAGGGTTTTTTAAGGGTTTTTTAAGGGTTTTAAGGGGTTTTAAGGGGTTTTATGGGTTTAGGGTTTTAGGGGTTTTAGGGTTTAGGCTTTAGGGTTTTAAGGGTTTAGGGTTTAGGATCGCACCTTTTCCTGTTGCTATGCTATTGACCCTTCTGCCCAGGATCTTCAAAACAAGCGGCAAACGGATCCATAAAGCCACGAACCGCCAAGTGTTAGGGCCAGGGAGGGAGGCAGGGGGGGCAGGGAGAGGGAAGGACCATGTGAAATCTCCCATTTGTGGATTGTTCTGTACTTTTTTTGTGAACGGGTTGGGGGAGGATCACGAGTGGGTCTTACTGCAGCGTAAGCTAGTGCTGCTGCAAGACCCGCAACATTAATATGAAGACTGCGTACACATGTTGGCCGATGTAAACGTATTTGTACATGTTTCTTTGATACCAGGTATATATGTATATATACATTTGTGTGGGTGAGCGTATGCATCCATATCTATATATATATATGTGTGTGTGTGTATGTATGTATGTATATATATATACATACATATATTTGTGTATGTACGTAACGAAGTAAGTAAGTATGTATGTACGTATGTACACACACACATAAATACACATGTATATATATATATACATGTGCGTACTTATATATATATATGTGTGAGTGTGTCGTTTACCTACACACAATACATATATGTTATATGGTGTGTACATGTTGATTTGGCTCATTTGTTCATACATATAAAGACAGAGGGACAGACAGAGAGAGAGGGAGGGAGGGGGAGAGAGAACAGCCGCTTTGGACGCCCCTTGTGCCCGAAGGAAGAAGGAAGAAGAACAGCAGCAGCAACAACAACAAAACCAACAACAACAAGAACAACAACACCGAGAACAATAACAAGAACATGAACAACAACAAGAACATGAACAACAACAACAACAACTACAACTACAACAACAACAACAACAGCAACGGCAACAGCAACGGCAAAAGCAACAACAGCAGCAGCAGCAACAACAACAACAGCAACAGCGGCAACTGCAACAACTGCAACAACAGCACAAGCATCAACAACACCCGCAAAGACAATGGCAACGACAACAGCGGCAACAACAAGAGCAACGACAACAACAAGAGCAACAACAACATCAACCACAACCAAGATAACAACGACCACGACAGCAGCAGCACCAGCAGCAGCAGCAGCAACAACAACAACCACAACAACAACCACAACCACAACCAGAACGACATCAACAACGATCACAGCAGCAGCAGCAGCAGCAGCAGCAGCAACGACAGCAACAACAACAACAACACAAGAATAATAATCAACAGCTTCAGCAACAGCAGCTGCAGCTGCAAGAGCAAGAGCAAGAGCAGCAAGACGAGACGTCCAGGTCACCGACCTCCTGAGCCCGCACAACATGTTCTGGCGGTTTGGTCGGGATCAGCCCATGAAGCAGCTGCTGGATACTGGGCATCTTCGGGTTTCGGATGTTTCGGGCTTGCTTCTGGTTTCGGGGGATCGACAAAGCTTGAGACTCAGACCCGACACTGTGCCTTTTTTTTTGAGGGGGCGGGGAGGGGGGCGGGGGGGGCGTCTTGTCTTGTCTTACGTGCCTTCAAAGCTTCAAAAGCAATGCTCGACAGGCGCAAAGCCGTCAAAACCTTGACCCCAAGTTTTAACAGCAGCAGTTGGGGTTGTGAACGGTTGTCATGGCCGTCGACATGTCGACCCGACATTGTTTGGCTCGGGTTCAACTTGTCGCTTCCCACAATCCCAGAGCCCTTCTGTGGGGTCAGTAGCTAGCGCATTTCTGTGGTGCTTGCGGGGAAGACTTTCTGCTGAGGCCCTAGGGTGCCCAGCTATATCCGGCTTCAGTATACTCACGAGTTCTCGAGACCCTCTCCGAGGAGACGCCCCTTCTGCAGCTGGCAGCTTCTCAGTGGCATGAGCAGTATAGGAGCACCCGAATCCGCCGGCGATGGTCGGGCAGCTGATCTTACTAGCCGGGTCGTGCTATGCAAATCGGGTCCCAAAGCGTTGGCAACATTCGCACCTCATTGCCGCGAGTTGCGCGGTCTTCCGCCGACGCTAGGTTTTTAGCAAGTTCCTGCTCTCCAAGGCGATTCAAGCAGAATCATTTCGGGGATTAGCTTAGTTCCGCTGAGCTCCTCCCTGCTGCCTACTACAGGGGCGGTAAAGCTGAGAAGCGAGGTGGTAAGCTTGAAAAGTCGGACTTAAGTATCAGGTAGGATGAATGAGTATTGGTACTGTCACTGCCGCTGCCATCTCTAACCCTCTACCACCACACCATCAGTGCGACCATTCCACGTGCACAGTGCTACTGAGACGCGACGATCACCAGCCCCACCACCACAACAATGATAGCGACGACATGCACGATCCTGGAAACGACCGTGACGATGAGTGGGATGCCGGCTCTATCCATTCCGGAAGGATGAAAAGTAGCATAAGAAAGAAATATATAATGTCCCTTGCACCCTGACAGTAAATCACAGTTACCCTTAAAGTATCCCTTGTAGCATCCCTCATCGCAGCCCGGATTGCAACCTTTATGGTACATCCCCAGAACACTTCCTGTATGATCCGCTGGTATCCTTCAACAGTATCGCAAAGTATCCCTATTGTAGCCCTTCTGGCCCTTATAGTATCCTTTGTAGCACGTACTTCTATCACGAAAAGGTTGTTGTCCCTCATGGAAGCCCCAGTCAATCGCTCGAGGCCAGTAGCGAAGTCATCGTGCCCGTGACAGCGGGCATGACCTCGGAGCGAGCTTTCTGGCAGTGCTATCATCCTAGGGAGTATTATTATAGAAGATACTAAAACTAAAGAGGCTACTGGAAGGGTTCTATAAGTCATTGAGTCTGATTCCGTGTCCTATCTATAGGCCCTATAGGCAGCCAATGCAAGCAGTGCCAACTAGACAGTGGCCGCGACTGTGACACACACACACACAGAGAGACACAGGGTGCCCTAGAAATGCCTGCATCGTTCGTTGCGCGAATCCCATTTCCCAAAGTCAGACGCACTTATGAAATCAGCACGAACCTTGTACAGTGACCTCACGTTCTTCTAACACACGTGGGACCTCGAACAAAACATTTGGAGCGCGGTGTATCTTTGCTTGATCCATGTGCAAGGGCCCGGATGTGCGCTACTAGGAGCCCCAAGCCCCGGCCCTGAACCTAGCAGGACCTAGCAGGATCTAAACAGAATCATAGCCCGACTGTCCGTCTCCGCCTCCAACCAAAAACGTAGCAAGCCGAAACCCTGAGCTCTGAGCAGGAGCTCGGAGAGGGCCTCGTGGCGCGCTTTTTGGTGCCTTGGACCGCATTAAAACAGTAGGAGACTTGGTGAAGTAACCAGGCCTGAGGATGGTTCGGGGTTTGGAATGTATCGGGACATTATGGGGGGTCATCCTTTTGTACTCCCAAGATTGCAAGCTTACGCTGCCATGCAGCCGAAGATCATGCGTCCCAAGTGCACTCCTGAAGGCTGAAGGGTTTTTGGAGGTGCTGAGTAATTTATGTAAGATTTTGCAGCACATATTGTGGACCTTTGTTCACATGGAACGCGCAACACTTGCGAAGGTGTCCGGCACTGATGCCAGCAAGAGTCGCTACCGCGAGTTTTCCTCTGGAATTCTTGACAGTGTGCAGCGCGAGCTGCTGATGATGAGACTCGTACCTTGGCTGTCACTCAAGGCACCTGCAGGGGATTAGGTGTGTAACAGGCTTACTTGTAACTTTCTTATTTTCTTAGATGTAACTTTTCCCTTAGATGTAGCTTTTTTCCTTTTCCTACTCACCCCACCACCTACCCCACGTACTCCACCTAGCCCACCTGCCCCGCCTACCCCGACAACCCCACCTGCCCCGCCTACCCCACCTACCCCGCCTACCCCCCACTACCCCATCTGCCCCACCTACGCACTTAGTCCCAACCAACGCGGCTATCAGTGAATCAGGCCTTGCCTAAGAGGAGGGAACGAGCTCATTCAGACAATCATGCTTGAGGCCCAAACCAGCAAACCCTACAAGGAGCGAATCCAGCCGGAACCTTTTCCCGAAGACGACAACCGCGGGAACCCTTGACCGAAGAAGAAAACCCTAAGGAGTGACTCCAGCAGGAAAGTTTAAGCCACACCGAAAACCTCAAGGAGTGAATCCAGCACGAACCTTCTCCCGAAGACGAAACCTCTAAGGCGTGAATTCAGCAGGAACCCTTGACCGAAGAAATTGACGAAAACCCAAAGGAGTGAATCCAGCAGGAACCTTTTCCCGAAAACGAAAACCGTAAGGAGTGCATTTAGCAGGAACCCCTTTCCCGAAGACGAAAACCCTACGGAGTGACTCCAGCAGGAAAGTTTAAGCCACACCGAAAACCTCAAGGAGTGAATCCAGCACGAACCCTGTCTCGAAGACGAAAACTCTAAGGAGTGAGTTCAGCAGGAACCCTTGACCGAAGAAATTGACGAAAACCCAAAGGAGTGAATCCAGCAGGAATCTTTTCCCGAAAACGAAAACCGTAAGGAGTGCATTTAGCAGGAACCCTTTTCCCGAAGACGAAAACCTTAAGGAGTGACTCCAGCAGGAAAGTTTAA